ATATACATTATACACTAACTAAACAACGTCTAATGCTAAATTAGATCGCGTGCGATGAATAACATGCTACTAGATAAAATTTGCATCACACGTCCTCTCGCAACAGCGCTGCTGCTAGAACTAGTTGTAGTTGCTGCTAGATATTAATATAATAGTCAAAGCATAGCGCAATAGCGCCATGGCGACTACTTACATAGCATGCGCTATGTGTTATGTAGAGATAGCGCGCTAAAATATGGTGCTATGCACTATATTAACCACCATTAATTTTGACAGTGACTGTCATAGCATAGATCATGAAGGTTAGAGAGAAGGAAAACCATGGAGAAAAATATTGTCCCAGAAATATGGACACCATACGTGAGGCGCTGCGATCGCTAAGTTCGCTCAATAAAAGTCATTTTCAGTCTAATTTTCCGATCAGATGCTAAACCACTTGCACATCCACGCACAATAAAATATTTGCTTTTTTTTTTGTCAAATATTACAAAATTACGGAGCATGAAAATTTTCTCACCAATGCCGCGAAGAAAATTTGTACATTATTCAACTAACTTCATCTACTTGTAGTCATAAACGGCTAACTTTGCAGACATTACTCACCGACGTCAGCGCCGCTTTAAGTTCTACAATTTTCAAGGACAGGCGGGCTATGCTACGTAGCAATCGTTCTCCTGTTCTTTAACCTCCATGAGGAAAACGATCGCTTTAGAAAATAGTTTCTCAGAAATAAAAACAAAATAAGTGAAGCGCTGCGATCACTAACTTGTCTCAATAAAAACGGGCTGTTGTGCGCTAATTTGAAATGATCTATCAACGTTTAATATACGTGTATATAATATCATTCAAAGAAAAAAAAAAAGAAAATTACAAAATTATTACTATTATGGAGAATTAAAAGTATATTCTCATCATGTTTGAAATGATCTATCAACGTTTAATATACGTGTATATAATATCATTCAAAGAAAAGAAAAAAGATAATTATTATTATTTACTAATAAATAACAACTCTCCACAGGTCGTTCTTTGTTGCATATAACACACTTACGCGTTACCCGACTTGAAGGTTTATCTTGAGTTCTTGAGTCATCACAACCGCCTTTCGGTTAAGCCTCCTTTTTTCATCGCGATTACTACGCTTACTAATAGTACGGTTGTGCGTAGGCTCCTTCGTAGCGTGCATGGTTGGAGTCATGATTTCGGGACGTATCCTTTTTTCAAACACATATTCTGCGTTGAATGACGCACTAAATTGTTCACTTAATGAATTTAAGAAACTAACCATTCCTTGTTGCTCTGGCTCCATAGGAAATTGTGTTCGATATTCAAACTACTTGAGCTTAATCACAATGCCAAGCTTGTTCACTATAGGACTCACTAAGATCGAAAAGAAAAGAAGTGTTGAGTTGAATGTGTTTCGTGTGGTGATACACTCAGAGAGAAGAGAGCCTTTTTACTGGAATCGAGACATTTATTGCTTTATCACCCTTGAGGACTAAGGTCCTAAGGGGTGACAACGCATCTACATTTTGATTCTTAATCAAGGTTAAATGTAGATGTCTATTGGCCACAACATCCATTTACCATCAGGTGGACTGTGTGCTCGTTTGTCACCCTAAACAATATACTTCCTGGTATATTTTTTTGCATTGAAGTGCAAAGAAGCCATTTCTACAAATAATGTAGAAAGGCTTCTTTTAGAAATGTGACTATTTTTTTTTTAAGAAAATGTTTGGCAAATTTTTGAGTTCTTCTTTGGATTTCAAAAAAGCAATAAACTTATTTTTTTGTTGCTCTGTTCAACGGCAAAATAAAATTCATTTGAGAATTAATTTTCATTCTGTTGTGTGGAAATAAATATAAATAATAATAATAAGTCTTTCGATTCATTATAAACATTCAAGATAAATATCGGTATAGTTGAGGTAGTCCCTAGCGTACATGTAAAATATTTTGTACAAAAATATATTTGCCGAATTCATGAAAATTATCAACAACGTGACTTTTTTCTTTGCAAAATATCAAAATTAACAAAATAATTGAAAACATATCTAACATATATTTTAAATAGTATATTTATAACATAAATTTTAACTTAAAAATAGATGCGTTTTATTACTAACGACGTCTCGAGAATTTACCTTTTAAATGTGCAATTATAAGGATTATTTTTATTATTAACACCACAGTTACACACAGAACATGTAACCATTTTGAAAAATATGAATTACAAAAATTAACACTATAATATTCTATAATATATCTAGGAGCTTATTCCTTGCGTGTTGACTTGTGCCGACCTGTCATTCAAAAACTATCTATCTATCTAATTTGCTATCCTAATTTCTATTTCGCTACATTGGCATAATTAATTTTCTTCTCACTTGCACGCTATATTCGCCTATTACTATCCTTAGTCTATGGTTACGACTTATCTTGCTACATATTATATATTTATCTATGAGTTATGATTATGACACAGAATATATATTATGTGTGTGTGAAATTTTTAGTGTATTATATTAATTGTTATGTTGAGTTTTGTAGTGAAAGACGATTATTTTTGTATGGGAGTCTGAGAAAGTGTACGTGGCGCAGTTTTGAAAATAACGTTATGGCTACTCCCCTCCGGTACATCGACGGCCCGTATTGCTCTTTGCGCATATTTCATCGCTCTTCACTACACATCTACCTCTCGTTGACACAGTTTCATACAAAATCTATAGCAGTGCGGATTTTTGCGTCACAATGCGGCTCGACCGTTGTTAGTTACCTAGTTGTTCTCTATATATCAAAAAAGTAGGCTGTATGATCATAGATTCCTTTGCCTATATCTGAAAATATTTTAAAACAAAAGTATTAATTTTGCACAGCGTTGCCAAATTGTGGGGAATTCCCAGACTGCAGGGAATCTTAAGTTGATTGGGATTGGCATTATGTAGGCATTTTGAAAATCGATAGCCCGGAGCAAGTCAGAACCCTTTTTCAGGAAATCTAAATACTTATCTTAACATTTTTGTTAGGTAACTTATGGATATTGACCGACTCCCCTTTTTAAATATTTTAATTGCATCACATTACATTTAATTTTCAGATTTATTTCGGAAACTCTTTTGTATCATTTAATGATTTTTCATTTCTATTATACAAAGTCGTGATGTTTTTGGTTTCATCCCGGTTTTCTAAAATTTAGTTCTCATCAGATCTTCACGTTATTAGGCCCTATGAAGCTATCTGTCTCATTTAAAAGAGTTTTATGAAAGAGAGAAAGAAGATGAGAAAGAGTTCTATTGCCATTTCATGTAAATTTGAATCAATTCGGCTTGGTAGATTTGGAGAAAACTCAAAAATTATATTTTCCAAAAAATATTTTTTGAGATAACTTTAATGTATATCGATACATTATATCGATTCCAAAATTTAATCAGCTGTTAACCTCAAAACACAATACCAATTGCCGCAAAACACATCAATACCAGTTATATTAGTACTATAGTTGTAGCACGAATGGGTCTGCTCGACCGGGGAAGGAGCACGCTCTCGCGGAATACCGGCGTAAAATAGTAGCTTAAAGCAGAGAACCGCATACATATAAATGCAGATATTATCTTTTTAATGGCAACAAGGTATGGAATTAGAAACACTCGATAGAGTAAAATGCTTGTTACAAACATAGGGGCCATCCATTAATTATGTGAGGTTCGATTGAATCACGAAATATCACAAGGAGGAGGGGGTGTAAGAAGATTATCACGGGTATTTATTTTTTCATCAAACGCACGATTTCTAAACTGAAATGCGGCTTGTAATGTGACCTTGACTCACCTGTACATTTAAATTCATGTCAGAAGCATGAACCTAATCCGAGCAATAATAGTCTAGTTATGTATAATGTTCGTCCTTCACGCATCCTCGCGCGACGATCGATTGGTAGGTCGAGAGAGATTCTTTGTGTAGTACGTGAAAATGATGACGCCGAGTGGCTTGATGAAACCGACGCTGATCTTCAACAAAACACAGTGCCAACAAACGACTTGCAAGATGTTAGTGCTGAAAAAAGTCTTGCTAATCCGTGGTCCGAGGACAATGTACTTTAAATATGTTCATGTACTAGTATAATATATGTTTTTCGCATGATTACACTATTCCTTTAATATTAATTTTATGATAGTCAAAAAAAACCTGCAACCTTTCTGTCTAGACATTTTTGACATGGTCCTTAATTTCAGAATAAGACTAGATTATACTTTATAGTTACTAAAAATACACGTGATTTTAGGTGTGGGGGGGGTTAGTATTAAACTTCACCACGTATCACTAAGAGGGAGGGGGGGTGTTAAAATGCAAAAAAAAACATCACGTGATTAATGAACGGCCCCATATGGTGAATTAAACAAAAATATGGAAATTAACAAAAAATATCGGTAAAAAAAAATTTACGAATGGAACTTGTGGGGAATCTGTTGATTTTTTGTTCCCAAATATTCGGGGAATTTGATTAATTGGTATTGGCAATGCTGTGATTGACATTGTTTTTTATTTCGAATGTAAATGGTAAACACAGATAGCTATAAACTAGTCTAGTCAGAGAATTGTAAAAATTATCTGAATGTATGGCAGGTGGGCTGGCTATTATTAGGGTGTTTTTGTTTATTTTTACTTCTATATTTCATATTGCGGATATGTTCGCGCCCGAGCTAAAAATAAAGTAATAGATATTGACTATACTTAAATTTAGCCACAGGGATTTTAGTTTGAATTAGTATAGCAGGTAACGGAGCCAAATGATACTGAAAGCTGAATTTATATCATTGATTCGATGTTCAGGAGTTCAGACAAATAAATTCAGAGTATATGTTATTAGATTCTCAATACATCCGTCATAATTTATCGTTTTACATGAATTTCAATGTTTTCTAAATTTTTATGTCATTAATTATATTTCATCTAAAAATTGAAAAACAAGCAGTAAAGATATGAAGAATAATTTTAGAAATATGGATACGGCTATAAAAGCCGGAGAACTTTTGATGACTGAGCAACCTTTTGCTTACGTCCTTTCGTCGAAGGAAAAAGGGCTCAGATGTGATAATTGTTTACAAAAGTGAGTATTTTAATACTTATTTTCTGTAATTCACTAAGTGTAATAAAGTTATTAAACTTTTATGTATTTTTTTGTTATGTAATTAGAAAGATCAATTGTTAATTTACTGTAACTTTATATCATTTTCATGTTTCGTAATTTTATTTCAACTTAGCTATGTAATATATTACATAACTTGTGCAGCATAAACTTATAGACAATTTTATTTTTATTTATTGAGAGAGAACACATGGAAAGATAAAAGGAAAAAATCTTTACCACTGATTTGAATTTAAATACAAAAATTACTTTTAATATAAATTGTTTTACAGTATTTACCAGAAAGTTCTACAATCTTTCAAGATTATTAATTTTAGTATTACATAATGATCATTGGTTAAAGTTAATACCTCTTTACTTAAATAAAAAAAAATATGAATGATTTGCCTTTACTGTTACTGTTACAGCCACTTAAAATCCTTTGCTGAACATAGTTCTCCCCCATAGATTGCTTTATAGGGGGGATAATTGCCAAAGTTGCCACAGCAATCAGGTTGGCAACCAGTTTTTTAATTTTACTCCTGTCTTATCTACTGATTTGTGTTGATCCAAGGGATGATATGGGGAAGAATTCTTTAAACTTTATTAATTCTGTCAAATGTTCATAACAGTAGTTGAATTGCAAATTATAAACTCATAACTTAATGGCTCTTTTACCTATATACAATTTAAGTATTAGCTTTGTTATAATATCTCTAATTACAGATTGAAGGTCCTCAAATGTTCTGGATGTCAGTTTGTGCATTACTGTGGCCGTTTGTGTCAACGTGATGCATGGAATGAACATAAGGTAAATTATCTTATTATTTTATAATCTGTAGCATCTACTAATTTATGTATTCATTTTAACATATTTTTTACTATTCTAAGTCAGCAATTGGCTTGTGACCATGGAAGGAAAAGTTCGGAGCTATTTTATATATACTGTTTTTACTTCAGAACTTTGATAGTGCTATTTATTTTTTGATGTGTTTTGCTTCGGGGGTGACGACAGTACCACCACAGACTTTTAAGAGTTAAGTGGTACGGCAGCCGAAAAATACATAATCATAATCATCATCAGTCTTTAACATGTCCACTGTGGAACATAGGCCTCCCACAAAAAATTTTAATTTTTTTTTTTTTTTTTAAAAGGGGGGAAAAAAAAAAAAAAAAAAAAATATAGGGGGGGGGAGTATTTTTTGGTTATAAGAATTATAAATATATAAATTATTAAAACACAAAAAAAAAATTTAGAATTTTGTTTTTTTTTTAAAAAAAAAATAGAATAATTAAAAAAGGGGGAGATAAGGTTTGTTATTTTTTTTTTTTTACAACCCTTTCGTGGTCGCCACAGTTTGTGTGATCCTAATAACCACAAAGAAGTAGTTAGATTGTGTCACTATTCACTTATAATATTGTTACTTTTTCAGCATGTTTCTAAGTGAATAATATTGTCTTACAACTTATTTCAAGTATAATTGTAGGGATGCATTTTTTAATTATTACTTTATGTAAGATGCATAATTTAATAATTTATTTAGCCAATAAAAAGACTGCCAACAAGTTTTGTAATTATAAAAAACCCAGTATATATGTATGTTTGTCGCTACTAGTTGGGGTAGAAAAATCAAAAATTTTATCTTTCAGGAGTGGCTTTCAGTTGCCTCTATTAGAGTCGTTATTTAAATTATTAAAAAACCATATCAATTGCTGTATTAGAATATTTTGTGGGATTTGTGGCAAAAAAGGTTCAATATCGTGCAAGAAGAAGCAGTGACAAACTGTCTTATAGTATTTATATCAAAAAATTAATTTTATTCAGAAATGAGTAAATAATAATAATAATGGTTTATATATCCTTTATATATCATATTTCATCCACCGTTTCAAGGTCATGCCAGATTTTCGAATTTTGCAAAAAAAAAATATTTTTCATTTAAAATCTCAACGAATAAATAAAATATAATATACAACTTGTTTGCATAACTTACTATTTGTGATAAATTATTTGCATAACAATTAATAATAAATAAGTATTGATTTTTAAAACAGTCCATTTCATTTTTACGCAACTACTCATTAATTATTTTATATTAAAAATACTTTAATATGCGAGCAGGGATCTCCATCCCATTAATTCTTTAAACACAAAAAAAGTATTTAATTTCTATCTACACAAAAGCCATAAATCAGTCTGTCACATTTATTCCTCAGATAAGTTACTAGAAGATTGAAAATTCAGCCCTGTATCTATGTAAATACCTATGGAATAAAGTAAATTAAGCAACAAATCAATTGTATAAAATGAGAAAAAAATCATATTAGTTAAAATATCGATATCAGCTGCGCATTTTGCTGAGTTACAACCCTATAAAAGGCGGCCATTTTATGCGCCAGATTTTTGTAGGTAGTCACGCTAATTATGTAGGTATGCCTAGTCCATATACTTCTAAGTCAGTCACTTTAGGTCATGTCATACATATACTGTAAAATTAGCTAGAGTTGTTCACTGTTTAACATAGGTATAAGTGGGGAAGTGCAAAGGGTAGCGGGCACAGTGTTGCTATCCACACAAGTCTCAAGTTATCATGCACGTTGTAGGTGCACAGAATATTATGTTAAGTTTTGAGTATTCTTTAATACTAGATATCCTCAAGAAATTATACTAAATTGAGAACTTTTTGTGGTAAACAGTTTGTACTTTTTGGATTTACTCTCAGGGTTCTGGAAAATGAAATGCCCATGGGGCTCCCCTTTTTCTTGTATCAAGAAAGCTTATTAACTATTTCCATTTAAAATTTTCAGTGGGAGTGCGCTAACTTAAAGAGAGTTGCCCCTAAGATCATTCCCGATGGTGCTCGAATGTTGGCCAAGATCATAAACCGACTGAATCGTGGGGATGGTCACACATACCGTGCCTTTTACTCTCCAATGTCGTTTCGCATGTGGAAGGATCTAATGTCTCGTAAATATCACCTATGTTGTTTTACTATTATATAATAAAAAAATTGAAATGTATTATATATAAAGTAGTATATAAAGGGGTTCTTCCATTAATATTTCAGATGGCTCCAAATGTAAAAAATAAAATTTTTAATGTAAAGTTTATTTATTACTGCTGTAAGACTTCTAGTTAGTTAACTTTAAAGAGAGTTATATGGATGGTCAGGATGGATTGAACCTGATTAAAAACCTACTTTAGAGATATTTACTAAATAGTTTTTATTATTTTAAATTGATATGTTGTAGTTTATACGTGGTAGAGTCATGCTGCAGTTATATTAGTAGTATATTTGTAGCACGAATGGATCGGCTCGACTGGGGAAGGACCACGCTCTCACAGAATACCAGCGTAAAATAGTAGCCTGATGCTGCTGTGTTTCGTATGGTGAGTGTATAGATCCGGACACCCTTTTCACTGAAAGGGAGGAAAATCTTGTGGCAGTCTTGTCCTCTCTCTCTTTAGAACTAAAAAGTAGAATTTGCATTTGTAGATTAGAATATAAGTAACAGATGCTGTGAAACGTTGACTACATTGGACAGTAGAATTGCCAGACTGGCAACAAGAAATGTAGTCAAAGTTGGTTAGTGATACAATTTCATCTGTGGCCTTGAAATCTTCTTGGCATTTTCCATAGTGAATCTCAGGATGCTTAATGGGAGAAGTGGTTATGTGGAGATGAAGTTGTGATCAGAATCAAAGATTCTGCCTCCAATAATTTTTATATATTTGACGGCTCCGTGGTGCAGTGGCTTAGCAATGAGTTGCAATGCTAAGGGTTGTGGGCTTAATCTCGCACGGAACAATAATTTGTATGTACTACAATTACTAGTTACGGGTCTGGATCATTGTCCTTGTAAAATTTATGTATATAAACTTCCCCCACGATACAGTGGAAAATCGTAGTGTGGTAACATTTTTTTAAAGAAAAAATAATAAAAATAATAAATTAATTCTTGTATAAATTTGTAACTTCCAGATTACCCTGACTTGAAAAAAGATAAAAAGCGAATGGACCATTTTACATCACTTTGCGTTGTGTTGTTTGAATTTCTTAAAGACATATCACTGCCTAACACTGTTGAGCTTATGGGAATGTATGGAAGAGTAAGTAATCATATTTCGATATAGCTTGATCGCAAGTTCTGTGCCATGTGATAATAAAGGGTGGGGAAACAAAAGGTAATTCTTACAATATTGGTTAACGTCATAATAATAATAAAAGGTATATTTTATATTACTAAACAGGAAATCCGGATGGTTCTCTTTCTCTCCATGGTTTTACTTCTCTCTAACCTTCATGATCTATGCTATGAGTCACTGTCAAAATTAATGGTGGTTAATATAGCACAGCGCCATATTATAGCGCGATATCTCCATAACACATAGCGCGTGCTATGTAAATAGCGCTATTGCGCTATGGCGCTTTGGCGCTATTAAGTATTTATATCTAGTGGCAACTAGTTCTAGCAGCAGTGCTGTTGGGAGAGGACGTGTGACGCAAATTTAATCTAGCAGCACGCTATTCATCGCGCGCGACCTAATTTAGTGTTAGACGTTGTTTAGTTAGCATATACTGTATATTTATAAGTGATCGAAGGACACAATTGTCTGCTACAAAAGAAGCCTTTTTTATAATGTAAATAAAATATAGATACAAAAGTGTATATAATTTATTTACATTATAAAAAAAGTGTTTGTAAACAGTTGATTTTTATAAATATAATCAATAAACTTTTAAAAACACCTTTATTTGATTTATAATTTATTTTAAGGTTAAAATAACGTTTACATCAATTTTAATAAAAAATTATTAATTTTATTTCGTTTTAAAAAGTACCTGCCTTAAAAATATTTTTAGGATTATAGAAAGTCGTAAGCCTGAATAGTATGAAAAAGCGATCATTGGTTTTTCTTTACCGCTTTAATATATTTTAGTCTAAAATGCGACTTATTACGAAATAATGTTCTTAAATAGCACGCGGTCTGTCCAATTCACGACATGTAATGTAACGTGCTAGGAGATGTAGCATGCTGCAAAACTTAACGCGCTTGTCGGCCTCTAGCGTGCTGCAAAACTTAACGCGCTTGGTGGCCTCCTACACGCTTTCTTATAAATAGCGGGCTATAATATAGCGTATTTAATAGCGCGCCAGAAATTTATAGTTTATAGTCTGTAGCGTGCTGTTGATTTATAGTCGTTTTGAATAACTTTAGTGTTTAGTCCATACAAACACATTTTATTTGTTTTCTCTCTGGATAAAGACACTAGTCACTAGATAAAATCAAACAGATATAGCTAAAATCCACCAAAACTGGAACAAGATTGATTTAGTGTTGGTGGATAAAACAGGAAAATACAGAATGATGATTTCGGTTGCCTAGCTCGGACGTTCGGGCACAGCACGACAGCGAAAGATTATTAAAAGCTATTGTTAAATATGTTATCATTATATATCCAATTTCCGCGTAAAAATATATATAAATGACGTCTTACCTAGTTTGCAGAGCACTTCCTACCCTCCCTCAATTGCATGGACTGTTACCGTCACCACCAATTCCAAAAGCACTATCCTAAATCATTTTTATTTTTTACGTGAAAATTTGCTTGTTAATTTTAACATCTTTAATGTCATAATGAATTTCTGCAAACTAACATCTGATTCTATTCAAAAAAATTACTCAAGTTTCTAGCAGCCTGAATATTCTCTTACGTAAGGTGATACTATTACAAGGCTCAGCTCTTGTGTTCAAGTTACCTGCCATATTAATAGAAATATTTGCCTAATGCTGTTTTCTATTGTCAATACAGTAAGCTAACTACATATATTATAAAATTTAGTATATATTACATGATTAGTAAAGGAAAACCCGAAACACGTTCTGTATCACCCCGGCCGCGCGCCGCTCTCTATACCCTTTGACACCCAAAGTAATTTTGTTAAAATAAGTGTTTTCTTATCGAAATATTACATACAGATGGAAATAAATATTATTGTACTTCTTAGTTTGCTTCCGTGAATCGTTTCTGCAGCTAGGCACTGCACATTTCACCACGGTAACTTAAAATTCAAATAAATACCGTCGACTGAAATAATTAACACGCATGACCTTTGGTGGCTAATAACGTACCATTTCCAGACTGTTCACTTGTGCTTACTCTTCACAATCGCTAACGAGCTCTCTATAGCTTGCTTATAATTATTCAAAGCTTTCATCATTTTGCTTGTAATGTTTACACTCGAACTTCTGGTTCCATTTTGCGTTTCTTAAACGTGGTCGTGATTCCAGATGGTCATCAATAGTTTTACGATTTTAGACACAGACATGAACTCAATTGGAACAGGTATATATCTAGCATCATCTATTATAGACCACAGTTGCAGCCCTAACGCAGTGGTAACCTTCGATGGAAAGACGATTAATATAAGAGCTGTCAAGGATATGCCAAACTTGGATTGGAATCAGGTAAATCCAATTTTCTCAGTTATGGCACAAACACTTTGCATAGCGAAAGCGAAATTCGTAGCTCTATTTCTTTTAATGTCTTATTACAGACCATTCATGAGAAATAATTTATGAAGTAAGGTTTAACTCCTGGATTATTCTAATCTATGACTTTGCGCTATCTCTCTCTTTCTGAGTAAATGGCGAAAATATGAGTCACGGAGATAATAACTATATAATTATGCTAGAAACTAACCGTCTCTACGGTTCTCGGACTCAACACGCGGCAGCAATCTGTGCACTATACTGCGGGGTCTATCGGGTATATGTTTATGTTACTTTCATCAGGATTGATTTGGCGCCATCAGTTGAATGTCAAAGACTCGCCCATCAATTAGCGGGGTGCTTGCGTCAAGGTTTGGCATTGTTTGTAAAAATTGGCATTTACCCTCTTGCACTCATAACTAATATTTATTGAATATAAACCTTGTTTTATGGCAATCCTTGCCTTCCCTGTGTTCAACTGTGGACTTTTGAAGGGCTGTTAAAATGATGATGATGATAAACCTTATTACGATACCTATGAGACGAAATGGGGTGATGAATTCACTTACGCTGCCAAAACGGCGAGTAAGAGGCGATTACTTGAAATGTCATAACAAAGTCATATGGCTCGCGGTACAATCATCTCTTTAAGTCCAGATGTAAAATATCCAAACCCGACGACGAACAGCAGTACCATATGTGCGACAAGACTGGTAATGCGATCATTGCTACAACAGGCGAGGCCTATGTCCTAAGGCTGATGTTGATGCTAATGACAGTCCTAATTAGATGTCAGGGTTTCTTAACTGCCTAGGAGTCCATCTAATTTATTTCGGGCATCAAGCAGCGCTAAGCTACACCCTCTATTCAGCTTCAATTTGAAGCATATAAGAAATACTGCCTTTCTTTTGATTGAGCATGCACCTTTAATGATGTCATTTTTTTGAAGATTGCAGGAGTTCATGGTCTGTAGTGGCCTTTTATAATTAGATAGACCTTTGTCCATTTGTTCTATTATCAATTACATATGGCACCCCTATAGATTTCATTAGCTGATACCCGCTCGCTTCGCTGGGCGCACGATAATAGACGATAATAACGTAGATATATAATATCAGGATATTTTTTTTATGGGATTATCGTAAAATCCGTTCCTAGTGAGCGTCTGCATTGTGAAATGAGTAACTATACTTAATTTCAAATCAATCGTGGGTGTATTAGAGATATCGTTATGAGTCAGTCAGTCAGTCAGTGGTTATATCATGATATCATGAAGGTTAGAGAACAGGAGAACGATCACTACGTACTAAATCATAGCCCACCTTGAAAATTGTAGAATGTATAGCGGCGCTGACGTCGGCAAGTAGTAACTGCGAAGTTAGCTGTTTATGAGTAGTAGATGAAGTTAGTTGAATAATGTACAAATTTTCATTTCATTTTTAATGATAAAATTTTCGTGCTCAGTAATTTTGTAATTTTTGACAAAAGGAAACATTAAAAAATGGAGAAATATTTTATTGTGCGTGGATGTGCATGTGCAAGTGGTTTAGCATCTGATCGGAAAAATAGATTCAAAATGTCTTTTATTGACCGAACCTCGAGAGATCGCAGCGCCTCACTTATGGTGTCCATATTTCTGAACACTATTTTCTACGGTGATCGTTCTCCTGTTCTCTAACCTTCATAGGTTATATATATATATATATATATATATATATATATATATATATATATATATATATATATATATATATATTATATATTAGATGAAATTTTGCCAGTGCGTTGGCAACTGCAGTTTTTAATAATTTTGTGTTGTTATCAAGAAGATGCTGGTGCCTATCTCCTGTTTCAATTTCGCTTTGTCGCTTCTTACGACACCCTCGATATGATATGCTGTAGTAAATATTCTTCTTGCCCAATGGACTTCTGTGTATATAGTAGGCCAGCAGTTCAGAATTAAAAATTGTTAAACCCTACAATATGATTCTAGTAGAGTAAGCAAGAAGATGTTAATAAGATTGCTGTTTCATTTTTTATTACAAAAAACAATTGTATTAAAATATCAATCGCGATCAATAAAATGATTATTTAAATTTTCCAGATACGTATATCATACATCGATCTTCTAAAGACACCTTACGAAAGGCAGACGGAACTACTAGAGAACTACTACTTCTTGTGCGAGTGTGACAGGTGCATTGGTAAATGCTTTAGATGTGCACACTAATTTGTTAAAAACCTGCATGCTGTATCCGGAAGCGACTATGATTTTAGTGTTGCCTATTCTTGGTTTTTACTCTTATTTTTATATTTTATTCTCTGAAGTTTACTATACCAATTAATAAAATAACATATCTATTTATTCACCTGTTAAGCCCATTTGTTTTATCGGGATATTATTTCAATTAGTAAGGAAATCTAAGACGATAAACTTTCAGAAATATGTGTACTATTTATAATTTCATACTTTGTCAATCACACAATTTAGTGTCTCCTTCGTGTATGTTTTATGTTTAAAAATTACATTTTAGATGAAACGCAGCTTAAAATACTGCACGCGGCTAAATGTCCGAACACCAAATGCGACAATCCTATAAACATACCTTGGAAGGAAAACTGTAAATTGGTAAGAAAGCAAACCATAGACAATGAAGATAAACAATCGAAACAAAATGGAGTTGTTAGTAATGGACAAAATGTTGACTTTAAAAACCCCACTGAACATGGAGACACCGTGAGAGATATAACAGAGATGCAATGCAGCGTGTGTGGAACGAAATGTACACAGAAGTTTATCGATCTATTTAAGAAGGCAATGGAGTTCACGGAGATGCATTTGCAAAATATGAAGGGTACGTCGGTGGCGTGTATCCTTTTCCTTCATATTTTAAATCAATTCTAGGTGATGTGTATTTAGTTTAGTTTAGTTTACGACGGGCTGTTTTCCGCAACTCCACGTCTAAGCGCGTATTTTGTGTGTGGGCAGGAATAATATGCTTATTCGTGCCATGGTATCTCCCCGAAGAAGCTCAACAGTCCCTTGATGTTGCAAGCAACTTCGGGGAGCGATCCCGGCGTGCCGAGATGTTTAGCCCTGTATGAAGCGACTTCTGGACATGTCAGCAACACGTGAGCCGCCGTTTCTTCCTCTCCCATGCATGCCCTGCACAGGGGGCTGTCAGTAACACCTATGGTGAACAAATGTTTGTTAAAAGAGCCATGTCCTGTGATAGCACTTGTTACTATCCTGACCTGTGGCTTGTTCAGTCTCATTAGAACCTTGGTTAGACGACTGTTTATTTCAGGCAGGGCCTCCCTAGCTTGTCTACAGTCTACAAAATGTTTTCAAAGTTGAGCGTGTAAATTATTGAAGTTTCTACTTACCAGTAAACAAATGTAGCCAAACGGGACTGGTATTATTGGTTCCAGCCCTATAGTGGCCAGGGCCTTGTATATTTAGTTTATTTGATGGAATAATTTAAATAATTAATTTGTTAATATTTTTTTAAATCGCTTGAACGTTTGGTATTAAACAGGGTAGTGAAGACATGCCTTATAGGGTCTATGATAAAAGTCACTAAAAGTGTTTTAATGTAGTTTCTAATATATATGTTATCGATCAAGTGATTAATTAGGGCATTACTAATAATGCCCGGGATATATGAATAATGACAAGTCAAATTGGGCAACGTAATTAATACTGATTACTTTATTATTTATATTAAATCCTCTGGTCATTATGAATCATTACAGCCCTTCACAAGTCAACTGCTGAACATAAGTCTCAAAGGTGTATTGTTCTTGATATTTCAATAACTTTATGTAGAAAATTAATAAAGAGTACTATTAGATAAATCGGTTCTTTATTTAAGTAAAATTTTAGGTTCACAACAATTTTCAAACCATTACACTACTCTCTCATAGCTTCCTATTCTATACCATAGGTAAGAGTGCTCTATGCTATATTCATAGACTAACATTTTAAACTAGTGATGCATATATTGACATATACTACATCTTTCCCTTTAAATTTAAATCATAATCTTCAAAACGCTTGGGGTATCGTACATTCCTTTTAGGCCTATTACATTCTAATTCAGCACCAGAGTCACATTCAGGAATCTCACTGACTTCAGACTGCTCTGGCACTGTTATAATTCTAGGTTTCACATGAGCTGTATTTCTTCTAAATTTTACACCTTCATTACTGTCTATAATCATTGATCTTGGTGTCGCACAAATATCAACCACCTTCCCAGGGTTCCAAACGTTATCTTTTCTATACCAAATATTTTGACCTTTATAAAATTTATGATTAGATTGAGTAGCAGTTATCATAGGCACTTTTATTACTTTAATTTTTTTTTTGATGAAATGCAAAATTATTGATACACTTTGGATATAAAAGTTTGTCATGAATTGGAAGTTTACTCCTAGTTTCTCTACTAAATAATAATAGAGCAGGTGTATATGGTGAATCTAATATTAGGGTCTATATTCCAACAACATGTAATCTTTTTCAATGCCCTGCTCTTTACACTTTCTTAACATGTCTTTGGCAATCCCTGCCGTTCTTTCAATAAATCCATTAGATCTTTGATAGTTAGGACTAAATGTGATTATAGAAAAACCCCAATCCTTTGCAAAAGAATGAAACTAGTGAATTGATTGGCATGTTGTCTGCTCTCATAACTTGTGGTATACCATGTATAGCAAAAACATTTTTACAAATCTTTATAACTGTTGATGCAGACATTGGTTGGACTTTTACTAACTCATACCATTTTGTATAATAATCAGCAATAATCAAATAATTGTTGTTTGCGTAGTTTAAAAAATCACAACCAATTTTTTTAAATGGTAAATCAATAATTTCATCAACAATCATTGGCACTTTCTTTTTACTGGCACTGTATTTTGCACACAATTCACACTATGTCATGTTAGGCCAAAAAAAAAAAAAGATTTTGCCATAGAAATAGTTTTGTTTATTCCAAATTCAATTCCAAAATTATCTTATATTGCAAAATTGGTTTAATGTTGTATCTTATCTATTTTTTAATGTTAAAATATATCGGACAAAAATAAATAGATTATAAAGGTGGGTCTACGCTAGAGGAGCCAAGCACGAGCTGAGCACAAGCAAAGCCGCTCTACTTTCGGCGTCAGGTGTGGACGTACAACGAGCCTACAACGTGTAAATTGATGCATGCGATGCAAATCCCTTTGTGTTCGTCAAAAAACAGACAATAGGCAGAGCACAGTCGAGCACGAACCAAACGCTCGAAGCGCGCTCGTTCGAGGCTTGTAAGTCGGTCCACACTACACGAATTTGCGCTCCGCTCGTGCTCGGCTCGTCTAGCGTAGACCCACCTTATGATAGTCATTTATATAAAATAAAAGATTAATCGTTTGCTTATTGTATGAATAGACACTTCCATCTTTGTATTACTCTGCCGAATAAGTAAGGTGATTTATTCATAAAGCCGGGTCAATTGAATTATTACAATAGATTTTATCACATTGTCTATTAAATATCGGGCATTCTTCATATTGCCCGGCCATTTAACTAACTCCTTGGTCCATAACACATACATTAACAATATAAATGAACCTGACTAAATTATACTATTTAAAAAAAGTTTTCATTTTATTTTTTCAAAATAAACACTTGTAAAATGTTGTCATATAAAATGTTTTCTTCACTACGGCGACACAGATGTTGATGTTTGCAAGTTCTGCCTTGAGAAACAGGAAGGAGTTTTACATCCACTGAATGTAATGCACGCTCAGACGTTGGATCATGCGTTTGATGCTCTAATTCAAGTCCAGCTGTGGGAGACAGCTTGCGTTTATGCTGAGAGATTAATTCCATGTTTCAGGTTAGTTATTGTGCAAAATATTTTACAACCATTGTTATGTTAATGAAACTCGTAAATACCATACGGATTTTCACCAAAAGCACATTCAAATAAATGTGCTATTGAATCTGTATGTAGAATTGTAAATAAAATATACTAAATATACAGATATATATACCTACCAAATACCTCCATAATTTTTGAAGTTATCTCTTACGTTAACAAGTCTAAGAAAGTTTAAAATGATTGTGATAAGAGTGGTTCCATTACTTTCTGAGTTTACAGTCCACACCCTACCATTAGGCTACTGTCACTTCACAATTCATTAATTAAATAAATAAATAAAAGATAATTTCAATTCATTTTGACAGGTAAATCATATTTCAGAGAAGTTAATTTTTTCTCTCAATAAACTGTATTAAATAAATTTTATTTTCATATTGATCAATAGATGACAAGATTAGGGTGTCTAGTCAGCAGATATGTACAGGGTGTTAGTGTAAACAACATTATCCTTGAAACCAGTGGTTTGGTTTTACTTATAGAACGTAAATTCAATTAATTTAAATAAAACACTATTTACTTTCATAACATTTAAAAAGTTTCTGTCCGATACCGTCCGTAAATTCATGGATACTCTAGGCTCCCGAGTGACTTAATCACTGTAAAGATCACCGCCCGCGCTAGCTACCTACACAACATTTTAATAAAAACACAATAGGTACACATAACCTGTGATGTAACTTTTCCTTCATACATTCATCCTGGCTTAGGACAGGCAAAAATTGAGAAATTAAGGAAAAATTGAGATTTTACTAAAAAAAATGTTATTTTTCATTGAATTTACATTCTATAAGTGAAACCAAACCACTGGTTTCAAGGATAACGGTGTTTAAGCTAACAACCTGTATAATGTATGTATATTGAAAAAAGGTACATTGATAATGATTTTAAATGTGGTAAATAATGATGATTTGCAGTTTGTTTAAAACCAGGAAAATAACTATTTGGGTTTTGCAGATATTTTTTAATGATAAAATTTCATAAATATTTGTAAATAAGATTTCTCTTTATACTTATTACGGCTAGGTTATTGGGATTTTATTTAAAAAAGAGGTCTTTTTTTCTACCAGTATACATTGTTTAAAATAGTGAAATTAAATTTTTTGCGTTTCTCATTTTCGAAATTCGATGGTATCCAATCAAAAGAGTTGTTATTTAAAAGACATGTGCCCAGGAACAAACAAAGCTGCTAATGCTCAAATACTCAAACACTATTCAATTTTAAGACGCCGTTAAGTCTCATGGCGTCACAGTCACCTTTACTTCATATAGTAGTAGCTATATTATAGTTGTAGGACGAATGGGCCGGCTCGACCATGGAAGGATCACCCACTAACACAATAACCAAAAAAGCGTAAAATGGCACCTCACTGCTGCTGTAGAAGGAGCTGACACTGGGGAGCCCCAGTATGAAATAAAATGCGAATAACATAAAATACGAAGAAACTTTTTCCCTAACTTAAAGCCCCTAAATTAAATATGGCTGCTTACCAATTTCCTTCTATTTTAAATGCATATTTCTTATATCTAATATATCTTTACAGATTCTATTACGGTGAGAGACATCCATTACTGGGATTATTGCATTTGAAGTATGGAAAGATATTGCTTTATAAAGTGGATCTACAAAGAGCTTTAGAACAATTGAAATTCTCAGAAAAAATTCTTAGAATCACACATGGTGACAGGCATCCCTTGTATAAGGACCAGTTATTGCCTTTACTAAGTCAAGCCATGCTGGAATCATAGTGAAAAATAAAAAAAGATATTGGTTGTAATTTTGTCAATTATTTTAGTGCAGGAATAGATTATGGCTAACAATAAAAGTATTTTTAATCAAATGTGTTTTTGAATTTTTTTTGTTGGATTCATCCTTTTCTCAATGAAGTTAATGTAAGACATTAACTTCTTTATCTTATTAACTTGAGGTGTAAGATATAAGGGCATTCACGATTTTTTTTTACGGCGCCGTTAGGAATGAGTTGAAATATCTGATCGCTTTAATAGCGGGAGATTTAATTTGTTATAAAAGTGTAGATATTATTGTTTCTTACGGAAATATTATTTATTTTATATATGTAATAGATTAGAAATTACTAAATCAAAATACAAATATTTCATGTGGGAAGCATGCAGACATTTTTATTCTCCATTATTTTTCTCCAGAGATATTTATTTTACCTTTAGTGACACATTGATCCTTGTATTTATTTTCCCCGTTCCGACTGGTAAGAAAGCTCAGCTGCAATCAAAATAACTATAATGAAATAACTATCTGGTATAGAAGTAGAAATAGAAACTTTTTTATTCAATGTAGATTATAAAAATACTTATTGAAAGTCACTTTTTTAATTTACCACTGGTTCGCAAAAAAAACCTCTGTCCTGGGAAGAACCAGCAAAAAACCCAGCGGGACTATTTTTTTTCCAATAATAGCTTACAATCAACAACACAAGACAAATTAGAAATAGCTTGGTAGCGATCACCCTTCCCAGGGGTTATTATCATCCATAAATTCCTTAATATTATAATAACCCTTTTTCTACAAACTTAGTTTAATAACATTTTTGAACTTTGTGTATGACAAATTTTGTATATTTTCTGGGATTTGGTAAATCTTTCCAATATGGACCATCGATTTCAAAGCCCATATTTTTTTTGTAGATAGTACTCACTAAAAGAAAGCGTTTTGCAAAGTTTTAGGTTGCGGAAACTTACGGTTCATGAGATATATTTTTTTAAACTTTTCATACAAATTGGCAAATAACACGCAATTACACCAATTACAAAATGAATTTGACAAATCATTGATGTCAAACGTCAATTAGTGTAGGGTTCCGAATATTTTGAAAGTATCGATACGTACTCGATACCAAGTATCGTATCAAAAGTATCAATACTACTTGGTATCGAGTACATTTCGTTAATTTTGGAGACTAGGGGGGTAAGAAGCCGGGAAGTTGTGCTCCGGCGCTCCGTGGCAGCTCCGGCGCTGCGGGATGAGCAGTGCCTCCGCCCTAGCGTAGGGAAGCACAGGCACCTGGGCTCGGTGCCTGCGCTTCCCTACGGCGGGCGGGCACTGCTCTCCCTCCGCGCCTCCGGGCTCTTATATACACTCTAGGGGTAGGGCAGACAAGACCACGTGGATAGTGGGGTGCTCTGATTCGGTTTTGGGTACTTTTTGAATATTAAATAAGTAAGTCAATAAGTAAGTAAACACTTTATTGTAGTAAGAATTAGATAATACAGAAAGTTGCAAACAATAAAATAAAAGTACAAAAGCTGTACTAATTAAGAAATACAAACAAGTTGCAAACAATGAAATACAAGTACTAAGGTGGAACTTAAATAGAGTAAACTTTATTCTACTTTATATACATATATAATTGCACTTATCAGCTCTTCCTATGCATCTAATTGGTTTGTCATAATTTTTCGTCTCCAAAATTAACGAAATGTACTCGATACCAAGTAGTATTGATACTTTTGATACGATACTTGGTATCGAGTAGGTATCGATACTTTCAAAATATTCGGAACCCTACACTAACTGACGTTTAACATCAATCATTTGTCAAATTTATTTTGTAATTGCGTGTTATTTACCAATTTGTATGAAAAGTTTAAAAAAATATATCTCATGAACCGTAAGTTTCCGCAACCTAAAACTTTGCAAAACGCTTTCTTTTAGTGAGTACTATCTACAAAAAACATATGGGCTTTGAAATCGATGGTCCATATTGGAAAGATTAGCCTGGGATTTTGTTGTAAAAGCGTATACATCTCCCCAAGAATGAATTACTGACTCGGTGCAGTCGAGTAACTGGTACTACCAGCTTGTGTCTGCTCCTAGTATTTACAGAATGAATATCACTTATTTTCGCAAAACTACTTTTATTTTTGTGTACGTACATTACATTTTCGTAAATGTATTGAGAGGCCAGAGTTAATATATTAATTTCCTTAAATTTTTGTCTCAGTGACTCTTTTGGTTTTAAATTATATATTGCTCTAATGGCCCTCTTCTATATAAATAATGTGCGAACTTTATACTAATTGAAATATATTCCAACGATTAAAAATTACGGTCGTAGTCACAAACTAATAAGAGTACTAACGTAGTCGTAGTTAGTTGGATTTGACATAGATTACTGACTATATATAGAGATGCTCTAGCACAAAATAGCAGCGCCACGGTTAGGGTTGCCAGGTTTTAAAACCGAAAAGCCTGACAGACCAGCGAGCTTAGCCGGATCTTCAGGTGATGTAGACTCTTAGCGGTCAGCCGCCGTAGAGTCTACATCATCTGAAGATGCGAAACACGTGTCGTATTATCGTCGATGGTGTGTCTTTCCTAGAAGAGTGGTGTTGGGAGTGGTTGCTCTTCAAACTAGGTAAGACACATCTTTTCATTTAATTGATCGGATGGTTACAAAATAACTATTAATATCTTACGTCAAAATGATGTAGAACTTCGGAGACGTAGACAGAGAAACCTATAGACTAATCGGCGTGGCCTCGAGTGAGAAAGAACTATAACGTATTTTTAGGTTATAGAATAATCTTTATGACTTTTAAACACACTTAGATAAAATTTTTAATTGTTCTAAGAACTTAACTGAACAAGATTCACCAATCTTAAGCTCACAAAACACTTTTTTCCCACCTAAACCAACATGTAAACTCCTTAGATCGTTACGAACTGTCAAAGTTGTTTAGCAAAGTGTAGTTTGCTAAACAACAAAACTGGCATGGAGAAAGGGACAAACAGTCACACCGCTCTATCTCATTTCTATGCAAGACGTATGCATAAATCTATCTTTTTCGTGTGCGAATGCGAAAGAAGGCGTCAATTTGTCTATAGGTTTCTCTGTCTACGTTCGGAGATATTGGGGCTTTTACCGAAGCTTTTTCGGTAGATAATTGAATTACGTCGATTTTTTTCTTACGTACAAGGCATATAACGAAAATGTATTTTATCATTATTAAAGTATAGGATATTTGTGGTATAAAATTTTTTTTGATGGTCGATATTCAATATTCTAATATATAAGAATCTACAAATTAGAGCTCCCAAATCATGTCTTTCAGTTTTGGCCTAAGCATGCATCGGGAGTATGATCATTACTAAATAAATAAATAAGTTATCTAAAAATTTGCCTTAAGCTTATTGTAGTAGAGAAAACGAAATGTTTTTACCAAGTAATTGTTATTTCAAACAACGAACGGAAAACATATAATTTCAACGAAGAAACCACGTAATTTCGCAGTTTTTGTAATACTCCTCTTAAGAAGATATATTTAGTATATTTAATTAAATTTTTACTCAGATTTTTTTATCCTCCATCTATATCATTTTTATCTTCTTATTAGCGTTAAATCTTGATAGCGACAACAGCGCTACCTACCGAATCCAATTGTAAATCTAAACCATGAAGGGACTCGAATACACATAAAAATTTCATCATCATCGGTGGAACCAATTTCGAGTTTTATCGAGACTAACGGTCATTTAATTTTTATGTTTATATAGAGATTAGTTTGTGATTATTAGCATTAAAAACAAAAGTTTCGATGCTCATACAGCCTAATCTAATGTGAAACGTAGGTGTGTCAAATGATTAAACTAAAACGTCACTTCAAGTCAAGTATTTTCAAATATTGTGTATTCGAAAAGTAAATTTTTTAACCTTTTAGTTCTAGAATTGATGAATTAGACTTGGTCCCGAAAATGAATCATTTTCATATTTCTTATTAATAAAAGACATTTTCGTTATGAACTATCAGTCTATGATGGCGCTATTATTGTAGTATAATAAGCCTAAATCAAAGTTAGCGACACGATGAACATTGGCCGCTCCTGGATATGTCATTACTTACTCGTTTAAAATGAACCGAAGCCTTAATTACGATGTAGACATTTATATCGATGCCCGGGTTGAAAACCTTACCTGACGACAGATCTCCTCTTTTTACCGTTCACGACCAAAGCGATCTCGACGTGATCTGAACACGTATCCTGCGAAGGTTGCATTACATTCACAGTCACTGTTGTCTTCATTCTCCTCAAGGAATTTCCATTCGCTGTCGAGCAAACATCGTCGCCTTCAACTCCTGCAAGCTAGAGCCTAGTATTATAAGATTCATCGTAGCTTTAGAATAACTTTTCAACCCTGCGCTACAGTGTTCTTGACTCAATAAACACTCACAGGTTACTTGTCTTTGTCGACAAGGTAAATTACACCATCGAACTCCGGTCTAAGCAGGTGTTGTGGCGATGCTGTTGTCGTGTGACAAGCATGAAACGAACGTAAAATCTTCAATATCACGCGAGTAAAAATTATTATTAAATTAATAAAAAATGAATTATTAATAATTATCTGTTTTTGAACTATTTGGGTGGCCCATTGCCTCTTCATCGAACTAGTCCACTGAGCTATATCAGTTACATTTGTTCTGCGAGTATTCTCTACTCTGAGTATAGTCTTGTCCATCGTTCGCTGAGTGACTTCGAGCTTGCTGATATGGCTAGTTCACTACTGGATCACATTTTAGTTCTGTAAGTCATCACTGGCAACACTTGTATTTGACTATCAAAAACAAGATTTAAAATAATAAAAAGTTTGGACCTTTTATTTAGTTGTACATATTGTGTAGAACAGTCATAAAGTCTATAATTTTCAGCACCATTCTATTATATAGATATTTTAGCCATCGTCCTACCTGAACGCACGATCATCGCTGGTTCGCGTGAAATTTGTTCGTAACGACTCGCGACCAAACAAACTTATGTCGAAGAGGTATTCTAATTAACATTAGTGCATTACATCGTGTGACTAATAATTTTGTGTTAAGTTTACACAAACTTAGTTCGTACGAGCGCGCGATCTAAAATATTAATACTTTTGACTAAACAGGTGCCATAATTAACAGTCGCACGATATTCGCGACTCATATTATTCACGAGATCGTATCATCACGTTCTATTAGGACACTCAATTGTGTTGCCGCGTGAACGTGTCACGATCGCATAATCATGTTCTACGTTCTATTAAAATGACGCTAAGAACAAGCTAGCTGACATGAATTTATTGAAATATTTTAGCATACTTTTGCTAGGTACACTACTTCGCTGCCGATTCTGTAAGTCTCGAGTTCTAGTCACAGGTCAAGCCAAAATCAGTTGTTGTTTTATCTGTATTCTCAGTAGCAGCCCAGAGTCAGGAAGTTAGCAGTGTTTCATCCCCGAAACTTGACAAGCACATAAAGTTGTCGGTCCTGTGCCTGAACTCCTTCGGCCGTTTCGAATTGACGTCACATCGGACTCTGAAAGTAAGGGAATAGAGAGTGCAGCTGTGATGTTACACATTCGTACAATATAATACTGTTTTGCGCAAATGACTAGTCTCCATTGAGACTAGCCGTTGTGATAGAAATTCAGTCGAGTTCGGTGTGGTTGGGGTTAACACCCTCGCATCTGATAACAAAATATGGCACACACATTTATTCATTTTTAACACTTTTTTGTAACACGATTTCCACGTGTCATTCGGGAATTTTTGTGTTAGAGTTTAGTTCATTTGTTTTTTTTTTCATTAATACACTCTTACTGATCAGCTACTAGACATAATTTACTTATTTCGAGATAAAGTTCAATTTATAGTAAATTTATATAAAAGAATCTAAAATTTTAGAATTTCGTAAAATAACAATAACATAGCTATGATTATAGACGAGGAGTTTTGGTGGGAACTTGAACGTCGACGGATTGTTGCTCCTGGTGAATTTTGATACGTAAAAGTGATGCAATTTTGTGTTTAAGTGTCTGCGTAAGTGAACTATAAGAGATAATAACGGAACAAGAGCTTCGATGTTGATATAAACCTCAAGTTATTTTGATCGCTTAGGCGCCTTATGAACTAGAGTGACTGTCGTCATCGACATCGATCAAAAAATTCGCAATGTGCATCACATTGCGAATTTTAAAGAATATATAAGAATTTCAGCATATTGTGAAAAAAAAATCTGTAAAAAAGAAAATCGAATGAAGAAAAGAGAATGAAATGAGGAGTGAAAACATAGCTTAAAGAACAAGCATCCAAGGCAAAAATCTTAATAAAAAAGATCATAGATGATTTCAGAATGCGTTTGTTTGTGCCAAGCGGTGCCAAGCTTGTTTTATTATTTTTAGTTTTTTCTAGTAGTTATATTTATAGGCTGCACATTATTTGTAGTAGTTATATTTCGTTATATTTATAAGCTGCACAGTAATTTTAATTTATCTGTATATAAAAAATTGCCAGTATAATAAAAATAACCGTTTTATTTTAAATATTTTTCTGTGGCAGCAACACTGTTAGTGATGTTCACTTGGAACACTATCGATACTTTTTCGATTTTAATCACATAATCGATTTAGATTTTAAGATTGAATATAAAATATAAATATATCAATAACAATTTTTATAATTGATTGCGACGTATTTTTAATTCAAATAGTGTTGATAGGAAATAAAATCGCCTTTAAATTGCAATGTATAGAAATGTATATAAAATCTAATACATAATATTCAGAAGTGAAATTAAATTATAAATAACAATATCACAAATGCATAGTAAAGTAATGTACTGAAAGCAATGTTGATTTAGTTGACTGGTATATATAATAATTTTTATTGATAATATGTAGTTTTCCTTTTTTTTATACTAATTTTTATAATTCATAATAGAATATTAATATGTTGTTTTATTAACTACAGAATTACTATTTTGAGATGCAGCCTATATTAAAATGTTAATTACTAATATACATTTAAGATAATGGTTAAGCAATTGTTTAAAAATGATTATAATTAAACAATAAAATTAAGGTGATCACTGCGACTCCGAAAATACTATGAACTCCTCGTGATTGCAGTGACATTTTCCGATTACATTTTTCAGATATCAATCGTGAAGCACATCACTATGCAGCGTTTATTTATGCTGTTGTTTGAAGTTGAAGTTGAGTTTCAAATTTCGATTTGATTATCAGTCTAAATTTAAAACATTTTTGTGTGTATTTATCGATCGAAACATATACTAATACAATTTGCTGCGACGTTAAACTTCTTTGTGATAATTATAAAAAAGTAAACATCTGATTATCATTTGCGCTGGTGCGCTATCGGGCATGTCAAATTCAGTCAAATTGTTCTTAGCAGTCGGGAAGTGTAGTAGTCTTGAAGAGTATTTTGGAGTGTGTAAATAATAAATCGATACCATGGTCCGTTGACGGTCTACCCGTAATCGGACGAACATTCTAGTCCTTTTTTTGATAAGTCTACCTACATTATTTTGATAAACAGTTGGACTCAAAAATGTTTAGTAAGCCATACGAGAAGAGATTAGTGCAGCAGTGCAGTCCTGTGAGCCGAAAGGAACCAGTACTTGGTCGGCCTGAAGTAATGGACAGATTTATTCCTTGTCGTCCTGATAACAATTGGCAGACAAGTTTCCAAGGTATGTTATTGCACTTATTCTAATTGCAAAACTGTATGTTTCTCTACATTTTATTTCCTGTTTTATGTTTATCAGCGGGTATTTTTCCTTGATTAGTAAAGAAATGCTACGGTAATAACTATATTTTAATGAATAATAGTTCACATATTAGTCATATTGCTAGCATAATTGTAAACCAATGAGAGTAATCTCAATAGAACATGAAATGAGATTGTTAATATTGTAAACATTTAAAAGAAGTCTCCATAATTTATTATGTTATGTGGAGCATGATAATTTATTTCTCATGCATTATTTAAACAATTTTTTAGAATTATAATGTAATAAAAGCATAATTATTATTTGTTTAGTTGTTAATTATTATTTGTTTAGTTGTTCAATAACTCTGCTGGTGAATACTTAATTACTAAATATTTAAAGAAACATAAAAATATAGTTAGTAAGAACTATTATATAACAGCATAGCTAATTACTACCTATATTACAAACATAATTAATGATTACTGGGAAGTAATTCCTTATGTTGTCAAAGTCATTAGAAAAATGATAATAATTGCCTAAAAATAGTTTTAGTATTTCCATTCAGATTAACACTGGATAAAATTTTACCATATAATTTATTTAATACAATTTAGAGCTACTTTTTAGAAATCCTTTTCTTATATGAAAGATGTTAAAATTAATTACAAATAAAATGATGGGTCTCACTAATTTGAAGAGCACCTCCATTCTTTCCTCGATTGGGTGCCGACCGACCCACTAATCGTAACACCACTACATTAGGAAAGAGACACCATGGTCCATAGTAGGAATTATGTTCTATCATGTTCACCGCTGGTCAGTCATTGTAGGATCTATTTTCCCTGATGATACCATCATCGATAATATGATATGTGTTTCGCTTCTACATATGGAGTGCGATATAGTACATTGAATGTACAAGCTTTGATTAAAGTATTCAACAATATTACAAAGTCATAGTAATAATAATAATAATAAAAAATAATATCACCTGCATCATTTGCCTGTTTCTTTCTGCCTAATCCTCAGGTGTTTGGTCTCCTCTGCTGAGGGCTTTCATCTGGTTGGGTGTTTATTTATTTTACTGTGTTTGATCTATGTTTGATCCAACATATACTTTTTTATCTTATTTATTATTGTTTTATATATTTATATACATTCCAAGCTGAGAGAACAGTATTTAAATATATCAATAATAATAAATTTCTTTCATATTGTGAGGAAAGCCCTATAACGGTAGGGAGGCATTTCTGAAGTCAAGATTAGATTGGTGGAGTGGTTGAATGCAACATCAGCAATTTTAGCTACTATAAATTTTTTATATCAATGTTGGATATTTTTACCAAGTGGTTATGAATGTTATTGTCATATATTATTTACTAGTTTTTTTTTAAAACTTCTAAATTTCCACCTTTTATTTAAGTAAGTCAGAGTCATTTTCTAAATGTTAAATTTTAAAAACTGGTATCTAGTGCTCATGCACCTGTATTTTGATTTTTCATTGAGTTATATTAAACTGCCCTGTGCACAGAACAGTTCTTGTAGATTGTATGTAGTACAGTTGTTTGAATTATTCTTGTTGTAAAAGACACCTTTAAACTCCTTGATATATAGCTCTTTTGTGTCTACTCAACTTTGGAAAGATCAGTCTCCCGGAATACCACATTAAAATAGCAGCTTACTGTGTTTTGTAAGGTGTGAGTAGAGAACCAGAGACCCTTTTACTGGAAACAAGACATTTGATTTTTGCCCTCAGGGGTGATAATGGATCTGCTCTTTGATTCTTAATTGAGGATAGATATAATGTTTATCAACCACTTACCATGTGTGCTACTTGGTCATCCTTATTTTATAAAAAAATATGTTGAAAGATTTTATATAGTAGTGTGTGACAGTTGTGCAACTTAATGTTGATTTAATTGACGGTTTTCTATTAGCCCTAACAATTGTAGAAAGTCAACATAGCTAAATCCGTTAATATGAAAGAGGTTATTTTGTGTATTCAATTCGAAACATCCACAGGCTTTGCCATTATAGATATCATCGACAGTTTTCATTGCTGAAGTTTGCAATAGTAAGAAGAAATAGAAAGAAGAAGAAGTATACATATCATGTGAATATGTTTAAATTATGTATTTTTAAATTTATATTTAATAGATTATCACTATTTACAAAAATTCACCATATCAACAGGGTTATTTGCTAACCTAGTAGAAGTCGAAATGACAGTCACTTTATAGTACATTGTGTCATATGTTTTATAGGATGTGGCAGCTCTTATAGAAAAGGTGTATGAAATATGCAATGTAATGTGTGTGCAGTGTAAAGTGATTATCATTTTGTTCTCAACAAGTAGCACACGCCTTCATATCTTTTTTTAAATGGTAGCATATTGAAGACGATCCAAATTGAAAGTATCCTTAACCCATGAGCATGTATATATTGTAGATATATACATGCTCATTTTGAAGTAAAAATGTAGGAAGCGATAGAAGTGTGTCAGAATTGTACTAAACGGAATTTCATGTTTTTTGTCCACTCTGGGTGATAGGCATGAGAGTTAATGTTATGTCTTACTAATTTTTGGAAGAATTAGTTTTTAAATTAATATTCTAAAGTTTTTAATACCTCCAGTAGAGACTGGACACGTTACTTGTAACAATGCTTTCCTTCTATATCCTCAGGGATGACAATGCACACCTAGAACTTTATCATTTTATTAAATATAAATATATGCATCTGTTGGCCTCAACATCTTATCAAGTCAAAAATTTCTATTTCAATTGAAGTGACAAACCTACAGTCCACCTGACAAACAGAGATTAGAATAATTTTAATAAATATATATTACAATAATACTTCATGAAAAGTAATGTATGCTTTTACCAATGGTTCGGAAAAACCTCTGTCCTGGAAAAACCAGCTAGAAACCCACTGGGACTTTTTAAATATTAATTTACATAATATGAATATGAAAACAACAATTGAATATGAAAACATTTAGAAACAGCATGATAGCTAGCGAGCACCTCATTCTCGGGGTTATTATCAATCACGTACTCTTTAGTAGTATAATAATCCTTATTAAACAATTTTTGCTAAATATTTTTTTTAACTTTTGATATATAGGTTGGTATAGATAGGTCCTGCATATTTTCTGGGACTTTTGTAAAATTGTATACATCTTGTTCTTAATATGCAGAAAATGTAAATCATTATTTTTACTAACTTACAAATAAATCCACATACATAAATTAATTTTAATTGTACTACTAAGCGGCCAAAGTTTATATATATATATATACTGTCTCGATATATATCCTTCAGTTCAGAATCACAGAGCATGCACGGCCAAGCAGCAAAAATAGGAAAAAGGGTGAAACCCACATTGACCCACATTGACTGATTAGAGCTAGAAAAGTAGTCCAAAATGAGGCAGATAGGAAAAGGAGACCTGAAGCTTTGAAAATAAAAGATAATTTTTAGTGTAAAATGTACAGCACACACTTGGCAAGTTTTCTATATTACGAAAATGTGAGTTGAATAAGTATAAGTGTGACTGAGACTAACTTTATTAATATTTGTTGTGTATTGAAGTTTTTTCATTACTTTTTGTACACATTTTGAAGGTGTTGTTTAAAGTATTTTATAGCAGACTTTAAAGAAAGGTAAACACAATAATCTGAAGTTTGTTGACAAGGTTTGCTAATATTATTTTATCAAAAGTAATATAAAATAGTACCATGCATGTTTATGTTTTTCGGTAAGTATATGTCCCAGATTAGGCAACATTTATGCAAAACCAGCCCAGTGTGGTAGTTATGGATAACTCTTTTATAAAATCATGCCTCTCTAAAAGTATTATGTTTAGTCGTGGTATATATTTAGATTATAAACCGATAAAAAAATCCTGTCTTTCGATTATTCCGAAGTTGTTGTCTAGGTCAAAAATCGGCAAATCTGTGGAAATAAGTGCTATATATGTGAAGATGTCGGTTCATCATATACAACTGCGGAAGCCTAAAGACGCGTTTCAAATAGTTATATATCATTGATAAAAACAACATTAATTTTAACAGCATACAACGTGCCATTACGCCTCCATTACAAATTTTCTTAAATCATTGTCATTACAATGTAACTACAACGCAGTAGCAAAAAGACAATAACTTATTGGTTTTTGATTGGTAACCGAGGCTCCCGATAGCTTTTTTGTCCAACGGTTCTATTCATACGTTGATGAAGTTGTGGCCGAATAATTGGTAGAATTTTATCTTCATCAGATTCCATTTTCAAATTATTTGTATAGAAAAAAAAACTAATTTTAGATATAACAATCGACGCGGTCAATAACATTTTCAGACGGGAAAATCACGCTGTTATTCACAGAGAATGCGGGTGCTGAAGCGTGACGAATTCGGACCTTGGTTTGTTTTTTGTAGGTATAGATAAACATAAGCTCGTTAAACCCTTCTTAACATTACAAGTTAAGTGTCTTCTGCACTCCAAAGGACTGATTATGCAATCACGTTCAAGTTTAAAAAAAGTTTAGATAGTCTGTGGTTTTTAACACGGCGTTCTAATTAAAAATAAAATAGTCGAGTGCGATTCCTAATAAAACGCTATCAATTTTCCATTTGTATTTGCAAGTCCGGTGTGTGTCCTTAGAAGCTCGAAACCAGCTAAGATTAGAGACACAAAAATGTTTGCAAACTACTTTTTTTAATTTTTGAAAACATGTAATGAAAAAATTACTAAATCGAATAAAATTAAATTTTAATCAGGTGTTAACAATATACTTATTATGTCGCATGAGGCGAGACAAAAAATGTTCATTAACGTGCAAACATACACCATGTAAGTACACTGACAACGTTTATAGATTTGTAGTGGAGTCATGCTCTATATGTATGACTAAAATTTTTGATATGTTTGAACGACAAACGCCTCAGCCCCCCCTCTCACTTACCAAAAAAATT